GCTTCTTTTCCCCCCCAAAAAACAGGACTTCCCATTCCCAAACCTTGGCCGTATCAAGAGGAGGAGGCTGCGAGGAAGAGGAGATGCTACGAGATACCAAGGCAGGTGAGGAGGAACTTGCTTGACCTTTCATCCTCTCTTCTCCGTCCTCCAGCCGAGCATGGCTTCCGACACCGTCCACCCGGAGACGGATCCGGGAGGATCTCCTTCCCCTTCCCTCTGACACGGAGGCAAATCCCCTTCCTCTCCTTGTGCCTTCCCCTGGCAGGCGAGGAGATGGGACTGGAGAACGCGGAGGAGAAACCCCACCGGCAGAACCTCGCGGGAGAGGCTCTTTTGAAGGGCTCCATGGAGCGGGAGGTCAACGGGGAGGAAAAGCCGAGAAGATGCCCCACGGGGAGAGGTTGCAAATCCACCCCGCGCAGTTCGGAGGAGGAAAGACCGACCACCTGCGAGGAATGCGGCCGGAGCTTCAGCCGGAGCTCCAACCTGGTGGTCCACCAGCGGTTGCACACCGGCGAGAAGCCCTACAAGTGCTTGGAGTGCGGGAAGAGCTTCAGCCGGAGCTCCCACCTCCTCACCCACCAACGCCTTCACACCGGGGAGAAGCCCTACAAGTGTCCCGAGTGCGGGAAGAGCTTCAGCGACAGCTCCACCCTCATCACCCACCAACGCCTGCACACCGGGGAGAAACCCTACAAGTGTCCCGATTGCGGGAAGGGCTTCAACCAGAGCTCCAACCTCACGTCCCACCAGCGCACCCACACCGGCGAGAGACCCTACAAGTGTCCCGAGTGTGGGAAGAGCTTCAGCGTCAGCTCCTACCTGATCCGCCACCAGAAGATCCACACCGGGGAGAGGCCCTATAAGTGCGAGGAGTGCGAGAAGACCTTCAGCCAGAGCTCCAGCCTCATCATCCACCAGCGCGTCCACACCGGCGAGAAGCCCTACAGGTGCGTTGACTGCGGGAAGTGGTTTAGGAACAGCTCGGATCTCATCAGGCATCAACGGACGCATACGGGCGAGAGACCCTACCGCTGTCCCGACTGCGGGAAGAGCTTCAACCGCAGCTCCAACCTGATGACCCACCAACGCATCCATACCGGGGAGAAGCCCTACGAGTGTCCCGAGTGCGGGAGGAGCTTCACTGTGAGTTCTGCCTTGATTAAACACCAACGGACCCACCGGGAAGGGAAGTCCTACGACTGCCCCGACTGCGGGAAGAGCTTTATACGTTGTTCGAACTTCATTACCCATCGGAGGACCCACGTTGGGTAGAGACCTGGTGACCTACGGTTGGGTTGAGACCTGGCTGGTGGTCGCCACATCTTCCTGCTTCCCCTTGGGACCTAGGAATGCCCAGTTGCTGAGCTGGGCTCAGCTGTGGGACGCAGAGCCGTGGCAGAAGTTCTTTAGGAAGGGTGGACTCATTGGCTTGAGACTCCAAGAAGCTACATCTGCTTGGTTCAATCATTCCTTCTGGTGGCATGAAGCAACACCAGATAGACCACAGGCTTCTTCCATAGCCACATGGTGGATGGATTTGGGCAGAGACCAAGATTCTGAAGACACCGCTTGGGCCTCAATTTCTTCAGGAAGGAAGAAATGGGTGGGAAACCTGTGTCCTGCCCATCAGTTGTTGATCTTTGGAGGAATAAGCTCCTGAGTTGTCCAAAGGGCTTCAGAAGAAGCTCTGGCAACATCTTAGGGATGGAGATGAGCATGGCCCATCTGCAGGTCCTGCTCTTGCTCCCTTGGTGCTGCCAAAAATAAGCAAGAACTCAGCTGCAAGAAACTTTTCCTCCACTCACCTCCATGGTTCGGCCTCGTTGAACCCCAAACTCCTCGGTTTCATCCGGGCTTGGGCTCAACCATCGCTTGGGTTGAATGTTCCCCATGGTGCTGCAAGGATGGGAGGGGTGGGACAACTCCGTGGACGGGCGGAGGGCGAGGAGGACGTGTGGGCTCGTGGTGTCCACGTTTTGGAAGGATGCTGGACCGCTACACCATAACTATCGGTGACAAATAAACCTCACCCATGGTTTGGTTTGAACCCTCATCCTTGTCCAAGGGAAAGGGAGAGGGATGGAGAGCCCAATCGCAGCTCCAGGGTCTCCACCCCAGCCCCACCACCCCTGGAGTTGCTTCCCGAAGGTTTGGTGTCAAGGTGAGAGAAGGGATGGAGATGTGTTGGGACAAGATTTGGGATCACAGTAGAAGGTTTGGGGTCATGGTGGGACAAGGGTTGGGATCACAGCAGAAGGCTTGGGGTTATGGTGGGACAAGGGTTGGGATCACAGTGGAAGGTTTGGGGTTATGGTGGAACAAGGGTTGGGATCAGAGTAGAAGGTTTGGGGACGTGGTAGGACAAGGGTTGGGGTCACAGTAGAAGGTTTGGGATCACAGAAGGTTCAGGGACGTGGTGGGACAAGGGCTGGGGTCACAGTAGAAGGTTTGGGGTCACGGTGGGAGAAAGCATGGGGACGTGGTGGGGCAAGGGTTGGGGTCACAGTAGAAGGTTTGGGGTCACGGTGGGAGAAAGCATGGGGACGTGGTGGGGCAAGGGTTGGGGTCACAGTAGAAGGTTTGGGGTCATGGTGGGACAAGGGTTGGGGTCACAGTAGAAGGTTTGGGGTCACGGTGGGAGAAAGCATGGGGACGTGGTGGGGCAAGGGTTGGGGTCACAGTAGAAGGTTTGGGGACGTGGTGGGACAAGGGCTGGGGGTCACAGTAGAAGGTCTGGGGTCATGGTGGGACAAGGGTTGGGGACACGCCACACCACAAGACCCTCACTTAGGGACAAAGCAC